CAGTAGTACATGTAGTAATAAGGAACTTAATCGTCAATTCACAGTAAACATCAGATTTATCAGTCAAGAATTGAGGTGCTCAAAACTCCTATTTTCCAAGAACTTAGAGTGGAACCAAGTGCCACCAAGCACAGTAAGGGCATCATCACTAGAAAGCTTTAAACAACTCCTACAGTTAGATGTGCAAAGATTGGGCCTACACTCGGTATAATAGCTGCTGCCATGCTGCGTGCCTGTGAAGCTGGTGTGTTATACTGAAGGGCAGTTATCCTGTCTATACAATACAGGCATATTCCACACACAATATAGGCATGTTTGTGTGTGGAAGGTGTTCAGCACCAAGGACAGTCATGTTAGCTGTGTGTGGACAGTCTGAATAGTGGATAGTTCGAATTTCCTGTCATAAATGCACAGTCTGACATAACATAGTAAAATCACCTGGTAGGGTTGTTGGGTGTTCCCTTTCGCACAGCAAGCACAGCACCCATTGGTCAGTGTGTAGGCAGTGACAGTTACAGAAGCGATGCACAGGCCCAGCTCCACAAGGGTACACAGGAGGACAACAGCATCCACCAGGGACCTAACCAGCTAAAGGAAGAAGAGGAAAAACAACACAGGAACATGTTAAAACAAGCCCGAAACTACAATAAAGTGAAAAGCTGTCTTTGCCCCTGTGGTGTTGCCAAAAATACATTTACAACATTTAAATGTGATGTTTATTAAAACCTTTCATGCAGAGGACAGGAAAAAGCCACTGTCTTTTTGCAGCGCTGATATGAACATCAACCTACTCCCTGCCATAATATATGATGAATGAAAACTGTGCCTGGTGCTGGTATTTGAATAAATGTAAGAACTGTAACATCAGGAAAGACAAAGACTTTCTTCAACTGTTAGAGATAAAAGTTATTTGGGGTTGCTTCATATCCAAATAGTAATGTATTGACACCCCTTAATGACTTCCTTGGTCCCAGTACTGCAATACAAAATTGTAGTATTATTCCATCAAACATTACGTATATTCTGTAAGTTAAACTGGTGTGTTTAACTTTGTTATCAAGTATGATTTTATAAAAATTGTATACTCACATTAAGATGGTTGCAGACATTCCGTTCTTCGTCCCAATCATACCAACAGCCTACAGGCCCTGGCCAATGGTTCCAAGGCTCACCACTGATGGCGGCGCTGGCTGACGTGATACCAGACAGGACCATCAGGAGACAGACACAAGACATTACCAGGAACCCAACCACCTAAAGGGTGGGGGGGGGGGGAATTTGGGGTTGCTTCATATCCAAATAGTAATGTATTGACACCCCTTAATGACTTCCTTGGCCCCAGTACTGCAATACAAAATTGTAGTATTATTCCATCAAACATTACGTATATTCTGTAAGTGAAAAGCTGTCTTTGCCCCTGTGGTGTTGCCAAAAATACATTTACAACATTTAAATGTGATGTTTATTAAAACTTTTAATGCAGAGGACAGGAAAAAGCCACTGTCTTTTTGCAGCGCTGATATGAACATCAACCTACTCCCTGCCATAATATATGATGAATGAAAACTGTGCTTGGTGCTGGTATTTGAATAAATGTAAGAACTGTAACAT